TCCAGTGGATTCATAATTTTTTACCCAGAACACTGCCTAGAACAAAGCTATCACTTAACAGTATGTCAAGTATATAATTATTATAATATATAGACAAGAATATGTACGATAAGCATAAAGTAATATTTGATAAGTGAATAAGCAAACAGCACTGTAAATGCAAAGGCTAATACAATGGTATAAAAAGGAATACATGTGTTCAAATCTTCCCTGCAAAGGAAAGCTGGTACTAGAGGCTAAATTTACATGCTCAAGTTGAACGCTGGTGTTCATTATCCACTACTGGGAAGGAGAGTATCATCAACAAAGGCAGTCATAGAAGGATATGAAAAACTTATTTGGGGAAAAAAGACTGCCAGAGGGAGAGAGTTCAAGGAGGGGAGTATGGAGGAGGAAGGCTATGAAGTTAGGTTGGGAATGAACTGGGAAAGATTTTTAAATACCAGGTTAATGAATTTGGATTTTATTCCGCAAATAAGAGACTTTTTGGCTTCAACAGAAACTTCTGGAGCCAGAGAGAACCTGACAAGCTCGAGACAGCATGTGAAGAAACTGAATCGCATCAACGCGAAAGGAGCAGAGACTAGGAGGTAACGGGACTAATTCTCGCGGCAGCGACAGCGGCCTGAATTAGGGGGAAAAGTCTCGGAGTAAACGCCGAACCTGACTGGGGGGGTGGGGGAGAACTGAATGCAAGAGCCTAAGAGTCACAGGCCCCGAGGGGAGGGAGCCGCGAAAGCCCGGGGACGCGGCGCACAGCGACCTTCCTGGCCACAGAAAGCCCGGGACACCACCACAGAACGGGCCCCTCCGCCCTCACAGACCCGCGTCCCCGTCCCCGGGGCTGACCCACACCGCCCCAACCGCGCGTGAAACTTGTCTCCTCCGTCACCTTCAGCTTACCGCTGCCACCATCTAAAACTCCCGCGCAATCCACGCCCCCGCACTTCCGTCGCTGGGAACACTGGGCCCCGCCCCCACGCTTCGCTTCCGCCGCCGGGCGCTCGCGGTGGGCTGTACCATTAAGGCAGAGGGAGTGGGAGAGGCCTCAGGAGGGACGTCCCCACTCACAGTTAGAAGCGGGGTGGGTGGGAGAACCTGAGAACTAGCACGCCGGACCGCAGAGCGAGCATGCGCAGGGCGGCCTGGCCCCGCAGGTCTTCACACAAGAAAGACCTGGAGGGCAGAGGCCGGTGTCCTGCCCCTCCTGCTATCCGATTGCCAGTAACCCCTTCGCCATAAGCTACGCGGGGCCAGGGCATTTTGCTGTTCCCCGTGAGAAACCCCAGCATTCAGTCCATATCGTGGGAAAGCAGTGCATGCTCAGTATGTGTTAAATGAAGGACAGTAGTGATACAGGGTGCAGCCAAGAGGGGATTTGGAAATGGTGTCCAGAACTCAAGGTGTATAAGAATATTGGAGAGACATATAAGATGTCCGCACCCCTTCCCCCACAGGTGTGAGTTGGGGGAACATATGGAGCAGGAACATGCAGGGCTGTTTTGTACAGCCACAGCCTTGCAGCTAATCCATGGCATGGTCATTTAACATATCTATAGCCTTTGGTGGGTCACTTGAATATGTTAAATGGCTGTGGCCAGGCTTGAAGCCAGGGGGATGAAGTCACTTCCCCCAAGATGTAAGGGGGGGGGTAGGTCCCCCGAGTTACAGTGCCTTCATGGGAGCTTGGAGAAGATTGGCTCTGGGACCACAGAGTCTAGGCCATACCTGCCCAGACTCACGATGACAGCCCAGTAAACTTGTAATAATATAGAAATACTGGCAGGTGTAACTGATCATGGGAGGAGTTGGAAATAGGGGTACAGAGGAAGATTGGTGCGGGGATTTAAACCCAGACACGGCAGCCATTGGGGAGAGAAGCACGTGGTTTTAGCAGAGTTAGGACCCCCTCTTACCCAGGTGGGAGGGGGAGCCATGCGGTTTTGCCAGAGTGGGGACCCCTTCACAAATCTCTGGCATTGAGAGATGTCTTTCCAATTGGCGACAGATGATCGGGCCCAGTAGGGGGTCTGGACGGTATTAGTATACCATCCTCTGGAGTCTGGGCCCCGGTGTATCTGTTCCATAACAGTTTTTCTGGCATCCCTGGGTGGGACAAATATTTCCCCCCTTGAACCTCTGTTCGGTAACAGTGAACAGAGAGTCTCTCGTCTATTCCTGTCTTCATGAGGATCATTCCAGGTTTTTCTGTCTTCTCCATAACTCTTGACAGATGACCTCAGTTTTCCCACCGAATCTGTAAGGTCACCGTCATCAGCACCAATTCTTTCCTTCCACATTCCGGAGCCATGAGATGAGGTTCGGGTGTCCAAGCCCAGGAGCACTGGGTCCCCTTCTTCCCTCTTCTCAGCGAGGAACTTACAGACATTTAACTTGCAAATACTCTTTGAAGAAGCATCCTGATCCATTTGCTTATTCTGCGCCTCATCGCTAGAATCTCTGGCAGCTGCCAACCCCCATCTGTCCCAGGGCAGACCCACCTCCCTTGCAGAACCAGCATGTGTCCTGGAGGAACTGGAGCTTTGCAGAGACAGGGGAGGCCAGCTAGCCCGTACAGGACAGGACACTCTCCTTACCACTATGTAAGGTTAAGGAAGGTACACAATGTCCACGGGCCCGGGTTTTCCCATATCTCAAAGGAGGGGTTGAGGCCTGGACCTTCCCTAGGGTCATCCCTCAGAGGCAGTGGCCAGACTCCTGTCCCCTGGGGCTGCTCCCAGGAAAGTGTGGTGGCATCACCTTCCCCAGGAGCCAGGGACAGCTGAGACTTCCCTGGGCAGTGCCACCTGTGTGGCTCTCACTTCCGGACCAGGGGGCAGCTGTGTGTGCTGAATAATGGGAGGGCTTTAGAGTGACCTGCTCTCTAGTCCTTACCAGCCGTGTGGCTTTAAGCTCAGTCCCCCATTCTGTAAAAGGGGGGGATCATCCTGTCTCACATCTGGAGGGACTGGAGGTGGTGACACTGATAAGGCCCTTGACACGGTATAGGACGCAGGCGCTGCAAAATCAAGCGCCCTCCTTCCCTGCCTCTGGCCTGGCAGAGTGCGCCTGGGAGCCCACGGTTGCCTGCCAAGGGGCCAGCACAGGTGTCCAGGCCAATGAGGGCAGCGTCTCTCACACAGTGGCACTATTGTTCCAGTCAGAGGAGCCAGACATGAACGTGACTCTTGAGGTGGGGGGCAGCGGGCAGGGCAGAGGCAGAGGCAGAAGGGCTGTGAGCCGAAGACAATGCCAAAGAAAGCGCTGCTCCCCATGGAGGGCCTCATGGCCTGCGAGCACCCTGAAAAGCTCTGTGCAGCCCACTCCGGTCAGGGCGGTAGCATTAGCTCAAAAGTGTTCTCGGTGCACAGGAACGTTCTTCTGGGTGATGGAGTCCCTCATTTCCTTCCCAGGGGGCAGCCTGAGCTCTCCAACTGCTCCCACCCCATCCCAATTATCTCCCTGCAAAGTACCTGGGGTGGGGGGAAAATGCAATATTCCACCTGTTTGTTTGGGAAAGCTGTTATCCCAAAGCACCACAGACTCAGAGGCTTAAATAATAGGTACTCACTTCTCACAGTTCTGGAGACTAGAAGTCCAAGATCAAGGTTTCAGCGGGGCTGCTTTCTCCTGAGGCCTCCCTTGCACCCTGGTTTCAGGTGGCCGTCTCCTTCCTGTCTCTTCACACCGTCTTCCCTCTGTGCATCTCTGAGATCTCCGCTTCTTATAAGGACACCAATCATATTGGATTAGGGTCACCCCGATGACCTAAATTAAGGTAACGTGCCTTCATTACCTTTAAAGACCCTATCTCCGAATATGGTCACATTCAGAAGTACTAGGGGATGGGACTTTAATACATGATTTGGGGGGGGGCACAATTAGGCCGGTAACACCATTTTACAGGTGTGGCGACTGAGGCCTGGGAGGGTCCACAGCAGTAGCAGGCAGGGCTGGGCCTGGAATTGGGCCAGGAGACCCTCCTTCTCTGTCCTCCTTTCTCTGCCGTCCCCACGCCCAACTGGACCACTACGGGCCCGTCCGGAAGAGGAATAGGAGGCTGGGCAGGGGCCGTTCTCAGTCTACTTCCCACCAGTTCTCAGAGCCGAGGGGAAGGGAGGGGTCAGGCGCAGGCGGGAGGGCTGAGGGTGGCACTTGTGAACCTCTGTGTGCCCAGGAGCCGCGGGAGGGCCTGCCGGACTGCAGGGGCTGACTCAGCCTGTCTGGGAGGGGCCTCGGGCTTGGGCCTCTGACCGGCTCCCAGACAGTGCTGGGGGCCGTGGTCTAAGGGCCGCACTTCAAGGAACAGCAAGGTCGAGAGCAGCCCTGTCCTTTAAGAATATACCGGGAGCCGTTAGAATTAAACTGAAATTGGAAAAAATTTACATTTTCTAATAGCCCTCCTTGTCCCCCCCAAAAGTCAAAAGAAACAAGTGAGATGAATGCTAACATATTTTTAACCCAATATATTCAGAATGTTATCATTTCAGAACGTTAAGCCATATAAACCTCATTAATGAAAAATTTTACACTCTTTTCTTTGTACTAAGTCTTCAAAATCTAGTAGGTAGTTTATCATTACTCGTACAGCGTGTCTCACTTTGGACTCTCATCAGAAATACTTGATCACAAAATTTCCAGTTGAGAAAGTAGAATCACACACCTAAGTTGTTGCAGACACACTTTCCCAGTGCCTCCTGCCTGTCTTATCCTGGGGGGTGATCCCCCAGAGCCCGCGGTGATGAGAGAGAGGGCAGGGAGGAGGGGATGGGGCTGGCCCGGATCCCACCCCCTAAAGCCCGGCTTCCACTTGGCTAAGCAGGAACTCGGAGCAGAGCACACAAAGGAGGGCTTTGAGGCGGCTCCAGCCAGACCCAGGCCGATCCCCTCTCCCCTTCTGTGCTTTGCTTGCCCCAAATGGGGCCTTTTGTGAGCCTGATTCAACCGGAAACCTGGGCCCAGAGAAGGTCCTTGTGACACAGTAATCCCGGCCTGCTGACTGGACCACGCCCCCAGTGGAGGCCAACGCCAGGCTCCCGGAGGACCCGGGCACCAGGGGGCCCCAAGGAGGAGCTGCCCGCCTGGCAGGTAAGTCAGTTCTGGGGAGGCCCAGGCCTGGGGTGAAGAGTCTGGGGTAGAAGGGGGCCACATCCCAGACACCTGTATAACTGAAACCAATGGGCTACTTTCCAGGATGAGCCAGACCAATCTGATGGCAGATTTAGCAAATACATATGAACTAAACGTGAATGTGAATGTAAATATGAAATTTCAGACAAACAACAAATACTTTTGAAGGATTAGTCTGCCTCAGGCAACATTTGGGACCTACTTATATTTAGAAAATATTTGTTGTTCATCCAAACTTCACCTGTCATTGTGCATTCGGCATATCCTCTGGCTACCCCAGACGGCGGGGATCAGCCCGCGCTGGAGTGAGGGGTGGGTACGTTTTCACTGTACACAGCTCATAAATCAGGGCTTTAAAAAATCAGCGTTAATATACCGGACCTACTTTAAAGCGTTGTTACTGCACTGGGTGTAACTCTGTTCCTAGGACCTCGGCTCTTGTCCGGCTGATCTGCTGCCCGCTGGGGCTGTCTGGCTGCTCTCCCTGCTGCGTGAGCTCCTGAGGTACTTCTCTCAGCCTCTCCACTCCTGTTCTAGAAATCCCACGTGGGAGCACAGCTGTACTTTGTCTGTCTCCGTACTGCATGTCTGGGGGTCTACTCGCCAGGGAAGTGGCTTAACTTTGGTTTCCATGGGTGGGTTAGGGCTCACAAAATGTCCCTGCCCTGGCTGGGGCTGCGGAGTGAGAGAGGAGAGGGGAGACCCTCAGATACTCCCCGGGGTCCCCCAAATCCCACTGTCAGATGGGGGTAGTGATCAGTATGATGTCAGGAAAGGGAAGAGAAGCTATGTGTCAGAGCAAAACACCGTGCCTGGCACCTCACAGAAATCCTGTGGTCAGCCTTCATCACAGCTCTATTCGGTAGGTACGGTTATTATCCCCGAACTGCAGGTGAGGAAACTGAGGCTTGGAAAGGTTAAACAGCTTGCCTAAGGTCACACAGGTGGTGAATGACAAAGCCTGATTCAGACCCAGGTGCCTCTGACCCTGAAGGGTTGTCTGACACCCAGGAAACTTGCCTGGGGATGTTTTGGCCGCAGGGGTCCAAGCAGTTCTGGTGTCAGACAGACAGTGGGTCAAGTCCCACCTCTGCCACTTCTGCAGGGTGCCAGGGTGGTCCCTGAGGGCCCTGGGGATATTCAGGTGGGAGAGGAGAAAATCCGGAAGCAGAGAGCTGTCTCCCAGATGACTCCCTGGGTGAGCAGGGCGGAGATGCTTCCTGGGGGCCGCGGTACTTCTGTGTCCATTATTCAATTCATCTCCAAAACCCTTCCGTCCGTCCGTCTCCCTTTCAGAGACAACCCAGACCCGGGTTACATCACACAGCTTGAAAGTGTAAGAGACGGACTTGAAACCCAGGTCTGACTGTTGCCACAGTGAGCTGCCTGTGGGTGCCGAGGGGAGGTCACCGCTTGGGCTCCCCGTCCCTGGCTGTCTCTGGCGGTGTGACCTTGGACAAACACTTATTCTCCCGGGCCTCTTCCCTCCTGTGTGAGATGGGAATTGTAATACCGGCCCAGGCTCTGCGACAGTGGAATTGAAAACACTCATATATCGCTAAGCACAGAGCACACACGCAGTGTTATGGTTACGTAACCAGCCATCACCCCTCCTGAGAGGAAAGTGCTGGGCCAGGGGCCCCCACGAGGCTGGGGAGTTTCTGAGCCCCTCACCCCACCCCCCACTTTGGGATGGAGCAGGAGACCACAGGTGGAAGAGGGAGCGCCTTGTCCTGCATTTTAAGAACTGAGGTTCCTGAGCCATTTTTGTGTGGATTTCTCCTAAGAGGAGTGTTTCTCGAAGTGTAACCCAAGAATCCTCCGTCTTCTGTAGAGCCACCTGGGCTGTTGCTTCAAAGCACTGCCTCCTCATCAGAATCACGGGGTGCAGGGCCCAGGCGTCTGCATTTCCAACAGACACTCCAGGTGACCGTGGTGCCCGCGAGAGTTTGAGATCCATTGTTCTGAGACAGCATCGGGAGCCCCCCTGTACTGCTGCAGCCCTGACTTCCTCTCCCAGGGACGAGGCCACCTGGAGAGGCCAGGACCAAGGAGGGAGCCCTGCTTTCGCCGAGGACAAGGACTCCCTCTTCTAGAGCAGCATGTCAGAGGGGGTGAGTACCCCTGCGCCCTGGGGCTGTGCTCCTTCCTCCTTCCTTCTCTCTCCCTGGTCTTCCCACTGGTTACTGAAATTCACCCCTGCAACCTCTCTGTGGTCCTGGACTCCATGCAAAGGGAGGAGGCTTAACAGCCGCCTTGAGCAAAAGCACTAGGAGAGGGTCTGAGCAGCCCTGTGCTTGGCTTGCTCAGGCCAATGGGAACCGGTTACTGCTTTTTCCTCCCAACCCCTCTCTGCCAGGCGGGCACCTTCCGCGTGGTCCCTGAGGAGGAGCAGGAGCTCCGTGGCCGGCTGGAGCGGCTTACAACCAAGGACCACGGTCCTGTCTTTGGCCTGTGCAGCAAGCTGCCCCCCCACACCTTGCAGAAGGTGAGGTGGCCTGGGATTCAGGGGGAGACAGGCCCCGGCTCTCCAGGTCATCCCGAACTTAAAGGACTGGCCCTTTCTAGGGGCTGTCCTGGAGGTCACGGTCATGGTAGCACCTGGCTAACCAGACAGCAAGGCCACTGGGTCCGAGACTACAGCACCAACGGGGTCCTGGGGCCCCTAACCGGATCGTCCTAGACTCTGAGAGTAGGAATGCTGGCCAGTACGTGGCCCTGGGGAACAGGGTCCAAATACTGCCCTCACTGGATAGGCAAGAGGCCCGAGTTTGAGAATTGGACCTACTTCCAACTTGCTGTGTGACCTTGAGCAAACTGCTTTCCCTCTCTGGGTCTTGTCTTTGGAATCTGTAAACAAAAGGTCGTCGGACCAGCTCAAAACGATCAGACTGTGCTCTGTTGAGATCAGCAGAGCTGTCTGGGGCTGAGCTGAGCTGGGGACTCTTGGCTTCCATTTCTGCTTCCCTGGGCAGCCCATGGGACCGATGTTCTGGGCTTCCCCCAGACCTGAGCCCCCTCCTTTGGCTTCTCACGCGGCCCAAGGGGAGAGCTGCTTGGGACATGCCAAGTTCTCCAGCCCCAGTCTAGGGGAGGCGTGTGAAGCTTTGGGGGCAGTGTAGGCTGCTATAGGGCAGGTCTCTTCGTTTTTTTTAAAAGATCAGAATTAAGCGTGGGAGGCAGCAGAGCAAAGCGACTGAAAGCCCAGCCTGAGTAGGACTTTTCATTAATTCCCAACTCCACTCCTTTCCATCTGGCTGACCTTGGCAAGAATATCTTCACTCCAGAACCTCAGTCTGCTCATCCTGAGACATGCGCAGCAGAATACCGACCTTAGGCAAATGGGCTGTGGCAAAGAAGGAAAAGCCGCGCATTTAAAGGGTTAGGTGGAGCGCTAACCAAGGGCTCCTGTAAGTGTAGCGGTTATGATGAGAAACATTCGGACCTTTGGCTATCTCCTGCAAGGAACGCAGTTGGACCTAATTTTCTACAACACAAAAGCTGCCCCGTGGGCGGAGCAGCGACTCCCGGCTCCAGCCCCACCCCTCACAACACTTACCTGTGACTTCCTGCTTCCTCCTAACTTGTCAGGCCAAGGACGAGCTGAACGAGAGGGAGGAGACTAGGGAGGAGGCGGTGCGCGAGCTGCAGGAGCTGGTGCAGCTGCAGGCGGCCTCGGGGCAGGAGCTGGCCTGCGCTGTGGCTGAGAAGGTGCAAGGCTGGGACAGCGCCTTCTTCCTGCGCTTCATCCGCGCGCGGAAGTTTGATGTGGGGCGCGCCTACGAGCTGCTTAGAGGTGAGGCCAGAGCTGGGGAAAGGGCCCTGGGAAGGTTGTGGGGTGAGGGGGGCGGGGTTATGAGGACGCTGTTGACCCTCCCGCAGCAGCCACAGACTAGACCGACGACCCCTTCGCTTTTCTCCTATTACCTGCCTTGCGCAGGGCTCTGAGCCTTCCTGTCCTGACCTGTGAGACTAGCCTGGGGGATGCCGCTCATCTCGGGCAGTGAGTGAATGAGGGGTTTGGACCGGATTCCCTGAGATCAGGGCCTCCCTCTCTCTCTGAGCTTGAGGGTTCCATGAGTAGAACTGAGTCACCCAAATTGGGTGCCCAAGGAGGGGAGGAGTCTCCTGCCCCACCCCCACCCCCCCAGCCTTTCCACCCCAAGGCTGGGCTTTGGCTCTGGAGCACTGCAGGGAAGGGGGCTCTGAAGATGGAGCTGGTCCCGGGGAGGGAGCCCGAGGGCTGGCCCTGCTGGATGCAGGGAGACAAGTTTCCTCTGGAAACCAGCCCTTGGTGCTGGCGGAGGGCCAGGGTCTGAGCAGGCCCTCTGCAGGCCAATGAGTGGCCTTTTCTCCTCCCTCCCTCCCTCCCTTCCTTCCTTCCTTCCTCCCCCAAGTGCCCATTCACTTCCCTGCGTGCCCTCTGCTGTTCCCGGCCAAAGGGCACTGCAGAGAACAAAGCAGGCAAGAACTAACCACCTGCCCACATGGGCCGCGTATTCTAAGGGTGGAGGGAGTACAGCAGATAAAATAGAAGTATATAGAGTGTTAGATAGTAAGAGAGGATAATGAGAAAAATAAAGGAGGCGGAGATAAAGCACTGAGGGGTTGAAGTTCTAGATCAAGTGGAAGGCTTTGGTAAGAAGGGGCGTTTTGAAGAAAAACCCGAAGGAGACGAGATGTTGGGGGTGGAGGGGCAGAGGGGTGGGACAGAGGTGGGGGCAGGACGGAGGCCAGGTGATTTGGGGGGACCTGGAGTGGTGCAGGAGGCTGGCGGCGTTCCCTGGGCAGACGTTCCCGACCACCTGCTCAGGCCTGGCCCCTCCAGGGTGGTGGTGGACACAGCAGCACAGAGGCGGGGACCTGGCCAGGACCGGCCCCAATGGCGTGGGGGTGGAGGTGGTACAAATGCTGCTCCCCCCGGAAAGGCCTCTGTGTCCTGCCTGGGGTTCGGAATTCATTCCAACACCCACCATCCCCCAGCTCTCACCCCTTGCCCCCTGAGAAACCTGTGCCTCTGCCCATTGGAGAGAGAAAGGACAAGTGACGTCATCCTCAGATTCAGGGTTACACCTCACAGGCTGGCCGCTAACGAGTGATGCTCATGCCTAGAATCTCATCTGATTACCTCGACAGTTATCCTTGGAAGGTGGTGTGTCCCGCTCGGTCACACAGGCGCCTGGGTCCCACCCAAGGGTGGGCCGACTCCCTGAGGGCTCCTCTGTCCCCACCACGCCAGGCTATGTGCACTTCCGGCAGCAGCACCCCGAGCTCTTTGACAGCCTATCCCTGGAGGCGGTCCGCTGTACCATTGAGGCCGGCTACCCCGGGGTCCTGTCCAGTCGGGACAAGTACGGCCGAGTGGTCATGCTCTTCAACATCGAGAACTGGGACTGTGAAGAAATCACCTTTGACGAGGTCAGCAGTGCGGGGTGGGGGGGCGCTCTCCTGGCTCCCTCCCACCCTCTGGGCGGGCCCCTCCCCCCACCCTGGCCTCTACTGGGCTCTCACTCCTGGCTCCCTAGGAGGCGACACCTGTGGGAGAGGGTGGCAGGCGGCCACTGCCACCAGGCCCCTTCCAGGCAGGGCAGAATTCCCAGGGTGTACCGGGGCAGCTGGCAAACCCAGCAGCTTTGCAGGCAGGGCCCACTGGCCAAAACACAGCAGCCCCCTACTGTCCCTTCCAAATGGGGGGTCACAGCTGTGGGCCACGGGTTGGGGTCAGCACTGCCAAATGCTGGAAGCTGAGTGACGCAGAGAACAGGGAGAGCTGGGAGAAGTTCTGGAAAGCCCGGGTTCCAACCTCTTCAGCAGAAGTCCTGGCTGGCCCGACTCCTCTGCCTGTGTGTGTAGGCAATGTCCCCCTGCAGGGCCTTGAGAGACCTGCTGTGTCCGCACAAGCATGTTTTATCTCGTAAAAATGGGATCATACCGTACAGTGATATACCATGAGTGAACATTTTGTTGTATATTATAATCTTATACACAGTTTCTAACTGCTCCAGAGTAGTCTATGGCATGAATGCACCATAATTTCACCAGTCCCTTAATTTGGGACATTATACAGGTACAGGGATAAACACTCTGGCATCTAACCATGGATGTACTGTGCCAGGTCATTTTCTCGGAGTATTTTCACGAGGGGAATATGCCCCAGCTCTCAGCGTATGATGACTTACCTCTGACAAGGGTGGACCAGTTCACTCTCCCCTCAGGCCCTTGTTCTTTGTGGGTTGGGTCTGGCAGCCTGTTCGCTTCCCGCCCAAGATCTTGCAGGCCTATTGTTTCATCCTGGAGAAGCTCCTGGAGAACGAGGAGACTCAAATTAACGGCTTCTGCATCATTGAGAACTTCAAGGGCTTCACCATGCAGCAGGCTGCCGGGCTGAGGGCTGCGGATCTCAGGAAGATGGTGGACATGCTCCAGGTGGGCCCCCAGAACGCTGTCCAGCAAGTCACTCACACACAGGCTGGGAAGTTGGAGGGCTGGCCCTGGGTGCTGGCTTGATGGTGCCTGCAGGGCCTTGAAAATGTGACCACCTGGTGCGGCAAAGAGCAGCAACAATCACAAACCCTTGGTGATTAGCAATGTGCCAAGTATGCACACTGATTGATTCATTTACCCCGAGAGAGCATTCTCGCTGCTTCCCTGCTTCATTTTAAAAACCTACAAACTGATGCTCAGAGAGTTGCATGACTTCTCAAGGTCACAAAACTGGAAAGTTTGTGGCAGAGAGGCAGGGGCCTGAGTCCCATTCCCTGTCCACATCTGTCACTCCGCTTCTCTTTGAATTTGTCTTGAGAAAGGAAATGGCTAACTCTTGACAGCTCACTCCTGTCAGGTCAGAAGTCCTCTACCGGAGTTCACCTTAAGTCGGCTTTATGTGCACCTGGGAAAGGGGAGGGGGCAAGGGCCACGGGATGGGGTGAAGGGCAATGAGGCGCGACAGTGGTGTCCCTGTGGTCCATAATAGTTTGCAGTCTACTCAGCAGGCAAGTGGGTTTGAAAAACTTAGTCCCCTTAAAACCAAGCAAAGCTGCCTGTTCATTACTTCTCTCCACTGAAGCGCAAGATTTTATGCATCTGCTGGGAAAGGGTTGGGCTATGTGGCCTCCCATTTGGAGCTACAGTGAAGCCAGGGCTCCCCAGTTGGTGGCCTGGGGCTGGAACCTTCAGTGGGTCACAGGGAGGGGCAGTGGGGGGTCACTGGGGCTGCGAGGTGGGATGCTCTCTGTCGCTGCAGGATTCCTTCCCAGCACGGTTCAAAGCCATCCACTTCATCCACCAGCCATGGTACTTCACCACGACCTACAACGTGGTGCGGCCCTTCTTGAAGAGCAAGATGCTCCAGAGGGTGAGTGTATGACCGCACAGGGGTGGCACTCAGGGATTGGCTGGTGAGGTGGGCGGCGTTCAGGGATTGGCTGGTGAGAGAGTGGCGCTCAGGGATTGGCTGGTGAGAGCAAGAGTGAATGGGGCTCAGGCAGGAAAGGGTTTGTGACATGGAGGGATGAGGGCCCCCCACCCCCATCCGGAGCCCTCCTCAGACTCTTACCGTAGTCCCAAATTGCGTGGATCCCGCAGACCTCACAACGAGGAAAGGTGTGCAGAAAATGTCACCAGGCAGAGAGATGACACACTGCATCTTTGTCTGCCTTTCGATCACTCCTCCTCAGAGCCACCCCCGCTCAGCTCTCTCCCCCTTCCTTTCCTGCAGGTCTTTGTCCATGGAGATGACCTCTCTGGCTTCTTCCAGGAGATTGACAAGGACATCCTGCCCACCGACTTTGGGGGCACACTGCCCAAGTATGACGGCAGGGTCGTTGCTGAGCAGCTCTTTGGCCCCCGGGCCCAAGCCGAGAGCACTACCTTTTGATGACATCATCGGCCATCCAACCAGTAGTTAGCATCCCTGGGCCTCGCCCAGGCTGTCCTGGACCCAGAAAGCCGGAAAAGGGCTCCGTGGGGTGACTGAGATTCCCCTGACCCTCCCTAAGCTCGGGTGGGCTTAGGAGGACCCTCCCCCTAAGTTTGGGGGCAATGAGGACGGCGGAGTTCATTTGAACCAGCAGAACTGGAAGCAGTTCCATTCCCATTGACTTTGAGGCTTTGGGATACTGGCGTGTGTGAGGTTGTTTCAAAGACTCTAATCATTCTTAGTGATTTCCTTCCTAATGGAGTTTTGCTACTTAAGAGTCTGTGAGGACAGGCAAGGAGGGAATCTAAGAGCACGTGATCTGGCAGGCACCACACCTCCGTGGCACCATCCTGCAGTGGCCCGGTCGCCCCAGTCAGGCGCAGTCTGATGCGTGTGCAGCGATGATGGCCAGGGCCCTGGACCTCCTTCCACGGTGGCGGCTGTGTCCCCTCCTTCTGTGTGTGGGATGTCCACCAGACGCGCTCTTCAGACCTGCCCTGTGGGTGGTTTCACAGATGGTGTCTTCTCAGCACTCTCAGTCCCCGAGTGACACAGTGAAAATGCTTCTGTATCTTCAGCCGCAGGCACTGGACAGCGATGGACGTCTACTCTCCAGTTCTGCGTCGCGGGGGACAGATAGTGGGCTGGCCAAAAAGTTCATTTTGTTTTGTTTTTCTGTAAGATGGTTCTAGTAGCGCCTAGTTGTCTTTAACGTCCTTTGAAACAATTTTGTTAGTATTGTGACAGCTGCCCTGTCGGCCTGTGTTTAAAAAAACTTATCAAAATCCGTAAATTTTTGTGGAGCCATTTTAATATTGAAGATGGAAGAAAATAGGCAGCTTTTCCGGCGTGTTAGCTTTATTACCTCAAAAAAGGGAAAGATGCAAATGAAACACGAAAAAAGACTTGTGCAGTGTATGGAGAAGGTGCTGGGAGTGATTGAACGTGTCAGCAGTTCCGTGCTGGAGGCTTCTTGCTGGGTGGTGGGTGGGGCTCAGCTGGCCTGGCAGCTCCCACTGCGGCACCCAGTAGTCATGCCAAGACTTCTCTGCTCTTGCCTTGGGGGGTCACCCCACTTTTTGTGGGCATGAAGCACCCCTGGGGCTGCACCCACCTCCTGGGACAGGATCTTCAGCCGTGTGTTTCCTGGGCTGTGGGCTCAATCCAGTGCCTTCTGCGTTCACCCCTTTGGGCACGTCTCTGGCCTGCTGAGAGTTCTCATGTTCCAGCATGGCCACACACCTGGACACATATGTGAATGTGCACACACATGTGTGTTTATTTCTTACATCCTTGCTTTCATCTCTAGGGTCTGCAGTGTACGCTCAACACCCAGGTCACTTCCTTCTTTGTAGCATTCACAGTCAACAAGCCATGGGCATAAGTGGTGTTTACATAGGACTTCAGAGCTGAGGGAGGAATCAGCAAATTTTTGTGGGTGGCTGACCAGTGAGGATTTCTTCAAACCCTTTAAAAACTGAGGCTCTGCTTTTCCAAATGGAATCTTACATGGCACTCTGGTATTTAAGCCTAAAAAGAGTGGAACTATGGTGGCTGAAGGAGGCTCAATAGCCTCCCAGTGAGGGATCTTACAGAACTTCTGGAGTTAAGAAAGTCTAGGGGCTTTAAAGGCAGAAACTACTGGGCTGGGACCCAGTGAACCCACGGACTGTGAGCTGGCACCGTCCCCTGCTGGCCAGGACCTGGTACTGCCCCTCTGTGTTCAGAGACACGCTGAGCAGCTAAGAGGTTGGCAGGCTGACCTGACCTTGTGAGGGAGGAAGGTGGTGCCGCCTTTGGGGGCACATGTCCCAAGACCATGAATAGTGATGTTAAGTCTGACATGCGCAGCCTCACAAAACCCCAGCTGCCTACATACTGGATTCCTACAAGCGGCCATCACTACATTAATGAGAGGAAGAGGGACAATAAAATACTCTGGAAAGCCACTGCGTATGGGAAGGGGAACAACAAAACTTGATTCCAGTGACAAACATGTGCTGCCCAGAAGAGCTTCCTTTCTGACGACAACTGGGATGAGGCATGAATTCTGCCACATCCAAGTAAAATGAACAGAACGAGAGCTGGGAAGTCGTCACAACACACTTCTGTCAGCCCCCTGCGTCCCCCTGGGGAACACTGCATCACAGCTGGAGGCAGTTTGTCCACGTGTGGGTGGCCGTGTCAGTAGGGAAGTGGGCCACCAGCTTCAGAGCCTCTGCCCGGGCTGGGCTGCTGCTTGGAGCCCGAGTTTCCCCGAAGAGGGATGCCCAGCTCTTAACCAGCCAGGGAGAGAGCTGAAGAGGGACTTACGGGGCACTGGACGATCTCTGGTCCCCTGTCCAGTGGTGGGTCTGACACCGACACTGTGGGCACCCAGCAGTGCTGGGCCTGAAGTTCACGGGCCACCTGGGAGCAGGATCACTGCAAGTGTGGTCCCCGGAGGGAGGCATCTGCCCCACGTGGGAGCTTGTCTGTGACACAGGTTCACGTCCAGGGACAGGCATTCGTATTGTAACCCTTCCCATCTGACAGGTCAAAACCAAAACCAAAAACTCAAGGTTAAATGCTCAGGGCCAAAGAACTAGGCAGTGGCCAGGTGGGGACTCACCCAGCAACCCTGACCCCAGCTCCCTTCAGCTTTGTCAGGCTCAGGCTCTGTCTTGAACGTTGATTTCCTTCTGGGGGAAGAGGAGGTGTAGGTAGGAGGGGAACGAGGAACAGTGACATCAGAACGCCACATATTCCAGGTCAATTTTGCCAATATCATCCGACAGAGGAGGAAATAACCCTAAAGAGTAAAACCAGACAGTCTTCAGTCAAGACACTGGGGCAATTCCAAATGAGGCAGAAAGCGCAAAGCCAATAGCTCCGGCACAAAGAGCCATAAGGAGAGAGGGAAGAGATTCAGCAGTTCAAGGCCAAACAGCCTGTAATGTCTTCCCAACCACTCTGTGACAGGTAACCCTTTGCGGGTGGGGGGGATATTTAAGAGGGAAGCGAGGAAGGGGGCTGTCACACCTACGGTGGGCCATCCAGGTATGGGTGTCTGGTCCTTACCTTGGGCAAGTACTCCCTATAAGGCTACAGCTGAGGGGCCTGTTAACAAAAAGTATAATAAAAATGTGTTAGCACCATTGGGACAGTGAGTGATTGTAGATCAAAGTCACCGAGAGGGAATCCATAGCAGAGGTGCAGCCGTGAGCTGATCACCAGCAAGCTGCCGGCATCGACCCACCAGCCTGGATGCCAGCTGTCTTCCAGGTAGTGCTTTTCACAGGCCGTATCCTTTGCAAGTTGGTTCCCTTGGATCAAGAATCTGGCTATTTCGTGAGGGATCAGAAGTGGGGGGAAGTTGCTTCCCAGAGAGGGGTGCACTCTGCCATTTGGTATGGGACATCCTTAGGTCATGTTGACACACGTCGTCCAAAGCCAGCCCCCCTGCACCCCACCCCATCAAGGCTTTGGCCCGGCCGAGGAGGAAGACAGCTGAGTGCAGGCTCCTGGGTGGGGAGCATGGGTAACTCTCCTGGCTGGGCCGGGCCGGCGCTTGGCCCTGGCAGCCCCTTCGCCTGGTTCAGACAGGTAGCAAGGGGACAGAACACCACCAGCACTGAACCAACCCAGTATCATCTCCACTTTGGCAGCGGTCATCCAGTCTGTTCAAAGAACACGGTTGGAAAAGCATCAGGATCGCCCACGGCAACTGCCCATTCTACCCAACCTTTGTCTTGTACATGGTTCGCTTTACAGATTAAAAGTCGATTTCTCACTTTTCTCAGGCCTCAGCTTTCTTGCCTGGAGAGCTGGGCTTGTCAAGACACCCATGGGCTGCTCATTTCTCCGGCACTTGTTTGCAAGGCCGAGTTAAAATCCATTATGACAAGAACTTGGTGTTTGGCCCGTTTGCTTCAAACTTACACTTCGCTGAAGACACAGGAAGAATCTCTTTATTTATGATTTTTTTTTAGAGAGAGAAACATTGATTTTGTTGTTCCACTTACTGGTGTATCCATTAGTTGCTTTAAAAAGAAAAGATTTTATTTATTTATTTTTAGAAAGGGGAAGGGAGGGAGAGAGGGAAACATCAATCTGTGATCGCCTTTTCGAGCGCCCCCTACTGGGGACCAGGCCCACAGCCCAGGCATGTGACTGGGAATTGAACCAGCGACCCTTTGATTTCTAGGCCGGCCGGTAACCACCGAGCCACACCAGCCAGGGCCATTGGTTGCTTCCTGTGTGTGCCCTGACCGGGATCGAACCTGCAACCCTGCCGTACTGAGATGACGCTCTGATCAGCTCAGCTGTCCAGCCAGGGCCAAGTATCCTGTTAGAAAAATCCCACTATTGAAAATATACAAAAAACCACACAGCCATGCCACATTTTTAGTCTTTAATTTTTTTTAAGTAAAGAAATTCCATTGAATCGAAGATAACAAAATTACAGTTTTTGTTTGTAATGATCTTTGTTTACCACCACACAGAATCAAAATAGGATCAAACTAATACAAGAACATAAAATGATCAAGGACGTCATTGTTTAGTATAATTTCTTAATAAAGGTAAATATCCTCATATTTAGAAAAAATTGCATTGCTAGTTGCAAATCTCGAACACCTCAGTGCTGGAGGATCCGCGTTTCTCCCCCATAATCCAGCAGCACGGAGGCTTCCAGAACACAAACTCCAAAGTACATTACTTTCAGGGCAGCATTTTAAGTTTCAGAAAATGCAGACAAAACCAAGGTTAGGAATGTGAAAGTGATGGTTCTCAAAAATCAGTCTGGAAGCAGATCTGCCAACAGAAGAACGTGGTTGATGGGAGTCTGACCAGGAAGGGGGAGACGCACACTGGTTCCCCGCCCCCCCCCCGCCTCCCCCGGTGTTGCTAAGGCAGCTGCAGTGGCAGGAGTCAGAAGCTCAGGTACAGTGACGGTCTTCCTGAGGCAGTGGGACAGGCCCGGGTCACCTGAACCGCTGTGGGAGGCGACAGGGTTCGACATGGACTTGTGCTTTAGGGAAACTTAAAGAGGCCAAATTGAACACCAAAGGAAACCTAACTCTACACCCGCACGAACAGCCTGGGGCAGGAGGGCGTCGGCAATTATTCTGGGGGACGGCGGGCTGCTCAGTGTGGGTGGCCTGGAAGGAGAATGCCCATTGAGACGAAGGGTGTGTCTGCAGGTGCGATACGTGGACGGTCCCCAACTTATGGCAATAGATTTCTTGGCTTGTGGGGACTGGGAGGGGGAAAAGGTAGGTTATAGATTTTATTACTAATTGACAGAAGAGCAGAGTTACCAGACTTAATCCACCAGCATTAATAGAAATTAACGTCTTCTCATTCATTAGAGATACCCACATACCTGCCAGGGAAAACAAACAGCTCAGAAAACGTGGGGAGCGGGGTGCTAAGTCTCCCGAAGGGTAGCTGTGCACTGTCTGGAAGACGAGAATGGCTGGTGAGCTGGACTCTGCAGCCTGCTTCCAAGGATGCCGGGCTGCAGCTTCCGGGGGCAGCAGTGGTGGCGGCACGGGCAGGAGGAAGCAGCTTTCGTTTGGGGAGTGGTCCAGCCTCGCTGCCAGCAGGGGCCACTTCCCCTCCCCTCAGCTTCAGTTTGGCAAAAGCAACCCGTCTCCATGAAGAGGGGTTACTTCCCTCTGCTAAGATAATGGAGGCGGGAGCAAACTCCCCTCAATTGCTGGGCCTCTTCGGGCCATGGACAGGCCATTTCTCATGGTTTTTGAGGTGTCTGAGTCACCCAGAGTGGCTCTGAACAACAGAGTGAGGCCAAGAAGGAAGGAAGGCATCAGAGACGTGGCGTTAGTGGATTCTGGGTCCCTCGTGTCACCGAGGGGTGGGGGTGCCTAGCATAACGGGGAACAAACAGGACACAGAGAATGAAGAAATTCTCTGGTTTTGCTTGTGGCTTCACTTCAAACTTCCTCGGAAGAATTTGAATCCCAACACCACAATATCATGGTACCAGGGGATAGTCAAGTTAAGGCTTTCTGGACAAAGAAAGTGATTCCAGATGTACTGTGAGCAGATGCTGCAGGGAAATGCTTCTCGGTAACTCTCCTGTCCTGCCTAAAAGACGAGAACCTGAGAGTTCTCTTAACTCAACGTGATGTTTCTGACCTTTCCTTGAGCTCTGAGCCAGAATCGATGCCACAGCAAAAGAAGCGCCTCTCACATCTCAGACATCTGCCTGCCTGGCAAACACAAACGAGGACACAGACATTGTGTCCCTGGAGCTGGCAAAACGACCTGCAGTCACACAGTGACAAAGAGCGCTCTCATTCAGATGCCGGGCGCATACACTCGGCTGCCCAGAGAGCTGGCGCTAATGAAGCCGGCAGTTTGGGGATGAAGGCCAGAGCTGGGAGGACTTCTGCCGTGGCAACTCTCAGGGCTCCGCCTGAGTCACACAGAAAGATGGGGCTATCTGCCTGAGTGCAATGGTGCCCCTAAGCCAAGGACAGGGCAAGGGCAAGATGGAGGGTCTTCACCAGCAAGGCCTGAAGCACTAGCCCCTCTCCAAGGCCCCTCGAGGTGAGCGGGGGGCCTGCACTCACCCATTTCCACCGGCTGTGGAAGGCACATGGGAACGTTCAGGGAAATAATGTGCACTCAGGGGGAACAGGTTTTAGATGGTCTACGTAGCCGGGCTCAGAGGTGAAGCGGTTGCTCCCCCCACGCAGTGTGAGTAAGGGGCAGTCTCCAGGGCCCTGCTTCCCTAACACCAAGCCAAGAAAGGAGTCCCCCTTTCAGGTACATTGCCACCCAGATGGTCTGCCATGGGGACCCCTGTCAGCGTGCAAGGCCACAGAGAGCTTGCAAGGCTACAGGGGCTGCAAACAGCTTCCTTCCCTGTTCTGCTCTAGAATCACTGGGGCAAACTCACAGCGGGAGGTTAAGAGGTTTTCTTCAAGGCTGTTAAACTCCCTTCTGACATAAATGCATCAAAGAGACCCAACACTGTTTTTTAGAAAATCTGAATCTGACTCGGACCAGCTGCTTGTCAATGGCCTCAAAATTGTTTAGGAGGCAGTGAGGCCAACGGTGGGGGGGGGGGGGTGCCTCCCTCCCAGTTTTTAATGTGTTATTCCTGCAGCAGAGCGGTCTATGCAACTTGCAGCCTTAATCTGATTCTAAAAGACAGTACTCAAATGCTCTTTAAAACATCAGCCTACTTTCAGCCCAGGCAGGACCTTACTCACAAGAACAGCCCTCACATTACCACCGGAAATGAACGACTGCAGGGAAAAAAGCAGAGGAGAGCTGAGGGGAGGCCACAGTGGGCCCGTGTAGAATGCCCCTCCCTTGTTTATTTGGCAAGCGCCCCTCTCTGTAAGTTCAGGGGCTCACGCGAGTTCCCCTGTGGGACAACAGCTGCCGTCACATCCTCATTTCCATGCCCGAGGGCCTGGAGCCCGAGCAGGGGGCTCTAGTGGATTCGTGGGAGCCAAGCGGAACTGAGTGCCATTCAGAGTCGCTCACTAAAGAGAGTGCAGCTGGGACACAGCCCCCGCAGTGCAGCGGGGCAAATGCAGGTTGTGTGGCAAACGCAGGAGACGCCCCCAGCCCCGCCTCTCCTCCACGGGGCCATCCAGCCTGCTCCCAGGACTCCTGTTGTGCTGAAAGTGACAACAGGACTGTCCTTTCTCCTCCTGAATGGAACTGGGACCTGGCCACTCCTTTCTCAGAACGGGTCAAGAGATGCCAAATGGAAAGGAGCCACTTGCTTCCTACGACGGTCACACAAACCCATCGGTTACTGCTGCCTGCACCTAGTTCCAGGGAAAGTCTTACTCGGTGAGGGGAGTCGTGGGGAATAGGACCATGAACCTTCTAGTTACCGCTGTGGTTGTCAGGCAGAGGGAAAAGCGAGAAGGGGGAAGGACTAGCTTCCACGTGGAGGGTTAGATGATAAAGTGCCACTCTGTGCTGAAAAAGAAAAAGCACTGAAAAATAACTACTGGCAGGAAGTCACAAGGTGAGTCTGATGGACGTACTCGTATAAATAAGCCAAAGCGAAGCTGAGACCACAGCTATCTCGGTCTTCGGAGAGAAGGGCTGTTTTTCACGTGATTCGTTAATACAATCTGCTGATTGTCAGCAAATGATTTCTTCAGCCTACAGACGTCGTAGTTGCTCGGACCAACCCACCTGTGGCCACGAGGGTTGGCACCCAAGCCCCCAGGTGGCTCCCTCCACCCCTTAGGCGTCCACCAGACCCACTTTTTCTATTCCTGCCTGTCCTGGAGCAAAGGAGATGAAGCTGGGAGAAATTTTACAGCATGCAGGCAATTTTGCTCATAGTTCCAGATAGCCACTGCTGATTTTCAAAGTGCAGGGTTTTAGACATTCAGGTACCACAGGACTGGAGAAGGAAGTACTTGAAACCTGTCATTTGAGAAGACACCCTTTGGAAAGACCTCTCCGACAGATCACAATAGGCTATTAAATTAACAATCTGCTTTCAAAACAACACCCCCTTCGGTTGGAAAGATCTTTCTCCAAACTCAGATCCAACTTTTGAATTGTTTGGTATCAAAAGCCAGAATTACGGAGACCTGGGTTAAAAAAATAAAAATACAAATGAGGGCATAGTAAAACAAAAAGCCAAAAACTTCTATGAACCGAGGAAAAAAAGGAAAGAAAAGCAAGGCAATGATGACACGGGCAAGTTCAGACTGGGAGGAGCACCCGGGCTCCCCGGGAGGAATGTCCCCTCGAACCTCAGGAAAATGAGTTTGCCATCGAACTTCAGGACTGGCAGCGGTCGCGGCAATTTACCTGGTCCAGGTCCCCCACTTCACAGGTGGAGAAACTTGACTTCAGAGGGACTTTCCCAGGGTCATGCAGCCAGTGAGGAGCAGAGTCGGGGGCAGCCCACAATCCTCACTCCAGCCCAGGCCCCACACTGGACCCCACAGGGGCCGCTGTGCAGGGCGGACCTCACTCTTCCGGAGGCTCCTGGGAGCTAGGCGACACCTCTGACTATGAATTTTAACACAATTTCAAAACTGAAATGTTTCTAATTTAAAGGCCTTGCGGAGCAGTGTTGCCCAAATTTGCCTGGTGATGAGAATCGCCGGGGGCACTTGTCAAAAATTAAAATCCCCAGGCCCCCTCCCAGACCCACTGAATCAGCTTCTCCAGGGGGAGGGGGCTGGGAGGCTGAATTTTTAATAAGTGGCCCAGGTCACTCTCGTCACCAGCAAAGTGCAGGGAAACTATCTCAGGAGAGAGTGAGAGACAAGTGTGGCTTGTGACTCAGGGGAATTTGCTCTGCCATGTCAGGGGCCACAGTGCAGCCTCGGGGGCCCAGGTCCCCCCCAAGGCGCCTGGCTGACCTGCATCTCCAGCGCAGGCTGAGGTTGGTGAGCTCTTTTCGAGAGCTGCATTAATTAAGGGCACGTCTGACCACCACAAAATAAAGGACATCCTTCACCGTTCTTGGGGACAAGCCTTTTGATTGGCAAAGCAAAACGGCTGTTCCGACACGTTTCGTAGGGAAACTGGAAGCGTTGGCTTGAAAGCAATCATGATACGCTGAAACCAAACAGACGGGGAGAGGCCTGTCGCTTGTCACCACGGCTGACAATGCAATGGAGAAAACCAGTAACTAAGCACAAAAATAGTCTGGGGCTCCCGGGGAGGGCCGCCCACCCCACGACAGGTGTGCCTGGTGGCGGCCCCTGACGGTGTGAGGTCAGGCCCAGGTCCCTGGGGGAGCAGGAGACCTGAAGCAGCCGGCGAGGGACGCGGGCTCCAGAGGCGGGCGGCCGGAGGGCGGCTGGAGCGCGCCGGAGTCCGGGAGGCCTCACTCCGGGTCGGCCTCCACCTGCTCCGCGTCAGAGCACTGCAGCTTGCTCCGCTCCCACTGGCAGATGGCGTTGGCGTACTCCACCACCAGCTTATCCATCCACGTCAGGGGCTCGGGGAACAGCACGGAGCCCTCAAAGAAGCCCAGGTGGCCCCCGTGCAGAGGCAGCACAAACATGACGTTCTCCCGTTTCTCTGCGGGGGGAAGGCAGCCGGTGAGTCACTGCGCTCCGCTGGGCCCCACGGCGGGTGTGCCAAGCAAACGGGTTGGGGTGGCTCGGCCTTCCCTGCTGGCGAAGGCCACCTACGAGGGCACGCGACCTCTGCTCTGCCTCGCTCCCCAGAGCGGGAGGCAGCTGGGTGGGGCAGACACGACACTGGGATCCGGCAGGGGTTGGAACAGCAGCTGGGGAGATCCTCAGAAGTCTAAGTGCTTCTCCCACATGGCTGCATATTCCAACCTGCGGGGTTGGTAAAGGCCCCTATGCAGCACCCAGACCAATTACGTCAGGACCTCTGAGGGGGTGGGGGGAAGGGGGCCCAGGCACTGATGCTGCTCAAGCTCCCCAAGGGACTTGATTTACAGCTGAGAGCTCCCCAACTTTGTGCATCCACACCCCTGGGATAGCACCTTAAAATGCAGGTTCTGCTTTCGCAGGCAGAGACTGGAACGGAGGTTCTGCAATTTTGCTAAAGTCCCCAGGCGGTGCCGACGCTGCCTGGGGGCGAGGGGTGCTGAGGAAGGGCACGCTGCCCAGCGTTTATACTGTTATTTACTGGAGAACAAGGCAACTCAGTGGAATGAGTGGTTTTTCATGACAGGCACTTATCTTTTAAGACCAAAACATAAAGCTGCTAGTGGTGCTAAGAGGCACCCACGCTCTCGTGGCCGCCCTGAGAGGGGCCGACGAGGCGCTAGACTGTGCGGGTGAGGCTGGCTGCGCATGCGGCAAAGGCCACCCCTGGAATGGGCAGCCTGTACGGAACAGGAGCAGCTGCGGTCCTGGGGGATGACTGAGGGGCCCTTGCCAGCTGCTCTGGGCCTGCGCGGTGGCGCTTCCCGGCTCACTTGTGGGTCCAGGGCGCGCCTCTCGCCTGACCCCCTTCACTCTTCTCCTCGCAGTGGCTACTGCACAGATTTCTGTGTGATGGCAGGGGGCTACGGCTGGAAGTGGGGAAGAAAGCACCCGCTGGGGCCCGCTCTCTTGGTGGCCCACGCGGGGCTGCGTGGGTGACTTCTGTGCAGGGAGCCCAGGTGCGAGTGGTGGGGGGTGACAGGAGACAGCCTCGTTCCCACCCCACATGCAACGTGTGCCGAGTGGTGTGCCAGAGCTCTCTGGCAGCCGGGCGTGGGTCCTCTGTCAGTTACATTATCTGCTCTTCTAGCTTGGGGCCGAGAGAGAACCAGGAATACGCCTCTCCCCTCTGGGTACCGTGGGATATTCAGAGGAAACGTCATCACGGAGAACGTAGAGGGAGGGGAGGAGGTCCTGGGAGCCCCCCCAGGTTTCCTCCTGCCACCCTCTGTCTAGTCTCTCCTGCGGCTCCTCTCTGGCCAGGCAAGGCTGTGCTGGTCAGAGGCACGATGCTGCTCCCGTGAGCCGCAGCCGGCTTGTTCAGTTGCTTATATTTTTATCCTCAAAGCAGAAGGAGAAGCTCACTGTCACGAGGCAGCACAACTGGCTTCCTTCTTTCTTTCCTTTTTTTTGCTCTTCAGGTCAAGTCTTAAGTGTAAGTACCTCTTTAAGTCAAACTCTCTGACGTAAGGGAGCTAGAACCCTGAGAGGACAATGTCATGGAGCAGGGGGCTGTGCCCTTGTCTGGGGTTACAAATGACAGGCCTGTCCCCTGCACCAGGCGGAACGTGAGAAGGCTCTGCCCAGGCCCCAATGCAGCCCCAGGACTCTCAGGCCAGTCTGAGTAACAGCACAGCCGGGAGCAGACAGCACGGTGACGGTGACAGAGTAACTGTGGCAGTCTGCTGCGTGGCTGAGGGTGTGGCAGGGGCAAACACTCACCTGAAAGAGACTTTGGAATGGTTAGCAGACTTTCGTGCACCAGTGGGTCGTCGGCTGCGTTAACCAGCATGAGAGGCACGTAGATCTGAACCAAGGACATACACAGAATTAAACGACTGCTTCCCTTTTGTAGACCCCACTGAGTCAAGGCTGAAATTCACTACCAGATGTGCATCTGAGGCAGAGGGAAGGGGACCACCGCTCGGCGTGCTGACGGGGTGGATGAAGGACGGCCCGGGTCCCCGGTAGTGACGGCACTGCCGGCTGTTGCTGTGGCCCCAGCCCTGGCGGGCGTGTGCCGGTGGGGCCAGGCCAGGGAGGGTCAGACAGCCTGTGCTCCGCTGGCATCTCTGGCCCTGGCTCTGGGTAGCTCCATGGAGTGTGATGGTGCAAGTGAGGACCCCGGAGCCCGGGTGCTGAGGCTAAATGGGGACGGGTGGCCGACGTGGCAGACAACCGAACCGCAGTCCACGAGCGCCTGCGTCAGCTGGGGGCGCGGGCCATGCCAGCAGGTGGGCACCGGCAGGGATAAAGGGGAAGGCCCGTGTTCAAGTAAAACGAGCGACCGCACAAGAGAATGAGAGAGACTGGCTGGTGATGGCTCAGGCAAAAGTACATGGAGGTTATCTTGGCCACAAACGGACTTTAATATCCATAAAGCTCATGACCGATGCCAGAAACCGAATGTGTAAACCAGTTTCCTTGCCAACAGACGTGCTCCTCCTTGTTGGAGACACCAATGCACCTATTTTACTGTGGTCACCAGGTCGTGGCCAGACTTTTGAATTTGGTCCTGTTTAGTAAATAGGACCTGGTTAGTAAAAAAATAAGTCCCAGTTAGTAACAAAAGGCTTTTACTAACAAAATGCACCACATCCAAAAAAAGGGTCCAGGACTGTGAGAAATCTACACAGACTGCCTGTGAGGAACCATGGCAGGGGCCAGGTGGGCCCACTGTCAAGGGGAGACTAGAGCAGAACGGTGTTTGAAGGGCTTTTGCGCAGACACAGAACAGCCTGGTCCTGCCCCGCGCTGAGGGGCAGCTCAGGGATTCGCACACGCAGGCCCGGAGGGCCAGAGCTGGGTTCCACAACCAACCCGGGTGAACGGCTGGAGCGGTGCAAGCCAGACCCTGGTTGAGCCCCCAACAGGGAGCAACAGGAGGGGTGCCCGGGACCAGGGCGTGAGGCTGAGCCCCTGCGGCTGGGCTGCCACTCACCCTGTGCAGGTACCGCATGCAGCTCTCCTCTTCGTAGTACTCCTTCAGGGACCGGTAGCCGTGGAACTTCCTGGGACATACAAAAGGAAAAGGACAAAGCAATACTTGTCATAAGACAGGGGAGCTGCGTGGATCTGGGTCCCACCCCAGACGCTGTACTGACTGGTGGCGACTGTGGGCTGCACGCAGGCACCAGAGTTAGGGTCAGGAGCACCGCCCTCGGCACGGGGTTCAAATCCTGACCTGCCACTTCCTGGCTTGCGTGGCCTCAGGCAAGGGGTTGACAGAGCTTCTCCTCTGTAAAATGGAGCTAAGGACAGGACCTTCCTTAATGGCGCGGTGAGATTTACAACGTCGAAGTGCATCCTAGCGCGGCCACCCACCTAGAGTAATTACTCACAAAGTGTTGCCTGAGTAATTATTGGCAGATGTGACTGACATCTTTCAAGACAGTATAAAGTCAGATGTCTCTACACACATGAAGAAATTAAAGTTCAAAGCCATTTACTAGAACTTTCTTTACAAAAGACTGTCCCGGCAGAGTGCCCCGACCGCTGTGACTGAAGATAAGCGGGAGAAACGAGGGGCGGGGCGGTCATTCTGCGCAGCCGTGGGGCAGCGGTCGGAGAGAAGCAACAGTGGACAGGGCCTTCGCCCGGGCCCGGCCGTGCCCCGAGCAGCCTGGAGCTCCGACACCAGCAGGATGAGTCCACCCGGCCGGAGGCTCTCTGAAAACCTTCCTTCTGACACAGACTAGGGCCTCTGGCTTTTCTATTCTGACCGGGGTCTTCAAGAGACCCCCACCCGGAAGCTGTGGATCTCCTCCAGCACCAGGACGCGGACACCTCTCTGCCTGGGAAGGACCCAGAGAGCTCGAGTGAGACAGACTGTCGGGCTCCCCTCTTTGGGGGGCAGGGATGCCACGTGCTGAGATCACCTCCCGGACTTGTCTTCCTGAAACCAGCCCCCCCGTGGTTTCAGGGTCCGGAAAGCCCCCCGGTCCCCCAGGCTTACTAGTGACGGCTTGTGAGGAGGCTGTCACTGCGGTGAAGGTCATTCAAATTGCAGTACCCAGCACTGTGACAACGGAAGAGCTTTAGGGACATTCATTTAGAGAAGAGCTGAGGAACATTCTCTTTGGGGCTTTGAAGAATTCAGGAGATGAATGGGAAATGGAAGCGTTTGGGTTTTTCTGCCTTAGACACAGCCGTCTGAAGTGGGGGTGGGTGCAGTTCACTCTCACTTTCTAACATACCAGCAATTTCCCAGTGTCTCAGCAGGTGTCCTTCAAGGTCACCTGGTGTAAGAAGGTGACTAAGATCCCGTCAGGAAGACACGTACAGAGCCCACGGCCTTAGGCCAGCAGCTGCCTACGTAACGAGTGAACGTTGGCTTGCTCTGCACCAGGCCTGAAGGTATCAAATGATCGCTGAGCAAAAGGGAGATTTTTCAAAAAGAGAAGAATGAGGTCAGACGTCACCTTGACCTTTCCTAGCTTAGGCTAAACTCAAACGGAAACGACTGGTAGCAGGAAGGGGGACGGGGTCATCAGTGTCCTGACCCCAGGGCCTGCCTGGGCTGACAAGGAAGAGGTGACAGAGTGGGGGGGGGGCGGCTTGTGAATCACACTCAGGGGAGCACCTTCATGCCCCCAAAGAAAGAGGCTCCGGCCACTTTTCTTGCCACACACAGCCCTCTTGCTCTATTATATGTCACTTCTGATAGCAACATGGACAGGTACCAGAGAGTTTTCCTCTCGCCCCACTGCAAATGAGGGTTAGGCGGCGCCTCAGCCCTGCGAGGGCTGAAGGCCCCCCCCCCCACCCGGCCCCAGCTCAAGCTCAGTCCTGACACGCAGGGATGCAGAACGAGGGGGCAGAGCCTCTTCCTATTTTCCAACAGAAACTAGGAATTTCAGTGTCCGTGACACCTGTTGTTTTTGAACACTGGACATGTACTCAGAGGGGGAAAACAGGCAGGGACACGGAAGGGGGCCGCGCTGGCCCGCGGCCTCCGGCTCGGGACGCACCTCATCACGTTGTCGTCAATCTGCATCAGGGACGTGGCCGTGTGCAGGCGGCTCAGGTCCGAGGCCTCCAGACTCCGGGGCTTCTTCACGTGGTCTCCGAAGAGAGCTTGTCTGCAACGAGACCCGGAAGCAGAGGACAAATGCAGATGAAAGACCGAACAAATCATCACATCGTACACGTGAAACACCTTTCAAGTTTATGTGTCAATGATGCCTCGGCAGGCTGGGAAGGTTTTTTCATTAAAAAAATTCTAACGCAGGCCCCGGCTGGTGTAGCTTAGTGGACTGAACACCGGCCTGTGAGCCAAAGGGCTGCCCGTTCAATTCCCAGTCAGGGCACGTGCCTGCGGTGCAGGCCAGGTCCCCAGTAGGTGCCACGTAAGAGGCAACCACACACTGATGTTTCTCTAAATCTCTCCTTCCCTTCCCCTCTCTCTAAAAATAAATAAGTAAAATATTTTTAAAAATTTCTAACGCAGACAATAAGCACAGCCAAGCCCGCTTCCAGCCCAGAGGCTCCTGGACCTCAGAACATCTCCGAGCTGGCAACGCTGACTTTTAAATAACTGCAGAAGGACGGTGCCAAGACCCAGTCTTCCTTCTGAGGGCAGCTGGGCAGACTGGACACGCAGAGGTGATGCGAAGGGCTTTTCCCCAGGAGCCCAGTGGTGTGGCAGAGGCAAGAGGGTGCGGGAGCTGGACCGGCAGGAGATGGGGTGACGGTATTGGTGACAACCGTGATGGGTCACCACTGAGATCTGCCGAGAGCTACTGCACGCCAGGCCCCGCTCTAGGCGCCGGTCGGGGGCTGACCCACCGAGGGGTGTGAGCAGGGCAGAGGCAGGGGCAGCGTGGTGATCCGAGGACTCCACGCTCTGTACCGGGAGCTGGACTCCGGTCACACCGCTGCCCGGGCAGAACCCCAGGACCCCCAGACACACAGCACAATGAGGGGAAGGTTCCTAAGCAGTCACCGGCCACCCTCAGGATGCTGAATTTGGGGAAGGATGGTGTAGAAGTGTTTGCTCCTCTTGGGTTTAACTGGGACTGATGAAAGCTGACAGCGATCTGGTGAATTTGGGAGCTTGGGACAAGCTTGCTTCTTTTTAAAAAAATTTAGTATATGTTGATTTTTAGAGAAAGAAAGAGGGGAAAGTGATTTGTTGTCCACTCCTTGACACGTTCGTCGGTTGGTTCTTGTATGTGCTCTGACTGGGGATCGAACCCACGACTGGGCCTATGGGGACGACGTGCTAACCAACTGAGGGGCCCAGCCAGGGCCGGGACGAGCTTGCTCCGAAGTCACCAAGCTGTCGGCAGAGCACCTGCAGCACCGCTGCCCCTTTACTTTCCCTGAGAAACAAGCGTCCGGCTTTCAGTGACTCCAGAATAAGCTACGCGAGGACAGGCTGTCTCCCGAGAGGGTGGAAGGCGCCGCACCTGTGCGAGAGGATGATCTTCTTCATGTTGTCGGCCATGAGGAAGTTGTAAAAGCGCCGGCAGTGGTCCCACTGCATGAAGGTCTCCTGGGCCCTGAAAGAAGCACAGGGGAGTGATGGGCTGCCTCCTGCTTTTGCGACCGAGAAGTGCCTGCGGGGAGAGCCCCGGTGCACGCCGGGGGGCGGGGCCGACGGCACTACCGCCACCTGCGCGGAAACCTTTGGAGATTGCAAAACAGCGCGGCTGGGCCCGAGACCCCAGTGAGACGCCTCTCCAGGGACACGGGCTCTGTCAGGGTCACTCCCAACACCCTCTCCCAGCACCTTGGCCTCCTCGTAGTCACAGAACCTGCCGGTTCCAAAGTCTGCTCCAACTGAACCCTTTGTTTGGCTTCCTACCCTGTAACCATGATTTCCTGGCTTAATAACCAGAGTGTGTAAGGTGTGGGTGGGTGTGGAGAGGTTCGATGTGGGGAAAAACCTAAAGAAATTTTATTTGCTGTTTGGTGTAAGCCCCGATGCAGCTGCTGTGGTGGAACTGAATCAGAACAGGAACTTGAACGGTAGCCCCCGACTTGACTGGGTAGTTCACCAAACTGCACCAGACGCCTCTCCAAGACTCAGTTTCCTCATCTGCCAAATCTGGGGGTTGATCCAGAGGATCCGTCTTCACACCCCAGATGCTCTGGGGCTGAGGCATCTAAGACAGTTCCCTGGCCGGCCCAGCAGAGGCGACCTGGGGGACCTCGGTGGAGTCTCCACTGCTTCTGCTAATGGTGGGTGGGAGTCTGTAGGCAGGGAATTCCACAGGCCAGGTGCCTGGCCAACTAGTGGTGTTAAGAATGAGTCTGCATTCAGGCCTCAGCATTTATAACTGAGTTTCAAATGATAAGTTAAACCGGAGAGTTGGCCTGAGTCTGACCACACACATGTCCAGGGCTGGCAGGCAGCTACCGGGGCTGAGGGGACATGTCACGTCAGCTATATCTCACAGTGCCAGTGCAGTGACGCCCTGCCTTCGTGGCTCAGCAAGCCATCAATGTGAGTCTGCCCGGAGGCAGCAGTCAGCCCTTGCTAACGACAGCAAGCAGTGCTGGCTTCTGAGCCAAGGACTGGCTCTAGCTCCGGGGGAGGCGCTGCTGGGAGGAGAAGCCACAGGGAGGGGAGGGATGACTGACAAGCAGTGCTGTAGACTCAACCAGAAAGGATTTACCAGAAGCAAGGCCTGGCGCCTGGCCCTGGCAGGAGCAGGAGAGTCCTCCCTGCTCCACCCTGGTGTACCGGATGCAGGGCTGCCATGGTCCAGGTGCCCAGAAGGCTCATCGCCCTCAAGCCTTGGCAGGACAAAAAGGTTTCGCTGGTGTAACGTAAGGCACTGCCCTTCAGAGGGCAGTCCTCGTATAAATGATGAGGGAACCCGAGCCCCGGGTAGCAGCAGCCCAGACAGGGCGACGGGGGCTCCCTGACCTGCACGGGACCTTAGCGCGGCTTCAGAGCTCTGCGCTCCGAGGACAAAGCTGCCCATCTATCTCCTCATGGCAAGAAGCTCAGGTGAGTTTTGAGTGATTCCGAGTATGGAGATCTTTGTGGCCTGGAAGAGGGGTGGTGTGGATGGACCACGTCTGCAAAATGCATGCTTCCGTGACAGATGGAAGTTTCCTATCTCCTTTTTCTAAAACATTTCTTTAAAAAGTTAAAGTATAGGTAACATACAATACCACACTAACTTACGGCACACTAACTCAGGGTGCTGTAAGTCTAGTATGGTTAGCGTGACCCTGCTGCTGTACGGCACGCCCCGTGACCTCCGTGCTCTGCAGCTGCAAGTCTGTGCCTGTTACTCCCCTCCACCTTCCCTGCTCACCGCCCCGCTCTCCTCCCCTCTTGCAGACACCAGTTTCCTCTGCGTCCTCAGCCTCTCCAGCCTTCTCGGCCTTCGTTCCCGCACCTTAGTTTGTCCAGCGTGCTGAGCGTGTGCTCTTGCCAACAGCAGATGGCGCTAGAGCAGCAAAAGGAAATGAGGCTGTTCCTTGTCACTTAAGATTTTGTTCAATGAAAAGAAACGCCCTACATCCTCCTACTCATCAAACCCAGTGCTCTCTGAACACAAAGCCAATGTTTGCAGTAATTTCACAGCACTTGGTTTGGGAAGCGACTCTAGAGACTCCAATTTTACAGATGACTGCAGGCTTGTGGAAAGCTGGTCTGGGAGTCGGGTGAGGGCAGACCAAGTCCCCAGGCCAGGCCCCCTGCTCTCCTCTCTGTCACCCCAGGGACTGGGCAGGAGGGCACTTAGGTTAACTCTGGGTGCACGACGGCAGTGCACTGGCAGCTGCATATTCCTGGCCAAGCCAGGACAAAGGAACGTGTCCCTCCAGCCGGCCCTCTGGAGAGCAGAGGGGAGCAAAGGGGAGGGTTACCAAGGAGGACGAGGGGACACCCTAGTCCCGCCACGCTACAGCTGGAGAGACCGCGGGGAGACCAGTGCAGCTAAACGTGGCCAAATATCAGGAGTCCCTGTGAAACGTGTGCAATGCAGAGTCCTGGCCGTACAGTCCAGATTCATGAACCAGAATCTCCAGGACTGGGGCCCGCGAAACTGAATTTATTTCTAACACAATCCCCCAAGTAAATCTTAATGAGGTGAGATGGTCAATCACTAGTTTGCCGGGCGGGTCTTTGGGATCCACTGACCCAACTACTTCTCGTTTGACAGTGAACAGTTACTGCCTCCCTTTCTCGTCGGTCAGACCCATTAGTAATACTGAAGACATTATAGTGAAGGGTGAGCAAAGGAAAAAATATGAACGCCTGTGAAGGGTGTGGAGAGAGGTGTGTGTGGTGAGAGACATCTGGGACAACTCCGGTCTCCAGGGCGACTCGGAGCAGACCACATCCTGTGACTCATCCTGGGGGGTTTGGTTGGCAGGAGACTAAGAGGCAAAATAAACCTTTACCCAGTAAGTCATCTCCCTGGTGGTGATGTCTAGGATGCCCCAGAGGGGAGGGTACTTGAAAGTGAGGGCAGAGGTTAAATGGCTTCTGCAGACCCCTTCCCACACTATCTGAGACTCAGCTTTCCTGTAGGAAAGGGGGGTGGGGGTCTGGGACCGTGAGGCCCCACTGCCAGACTCCGGTTTGCCCGAGGTCTCCTATGTTCCTTCGTGAACCCACGGTTGTACGGACTCCTGGAGCGCACACAGACTAAGTCTTTCCGCAAAGACTCCACAGGGAAAGGGCAGCTGTAAGGGAGGAGCTTTGGTTTACTCAACTACACATCTGATCCCAAAACACAGCTGCATGTCCCAGGCTTGGGGGGTCGGATGGGACAACCTCCACATATGATGTGGAAGTGAACGACCCATAAACTTCCGCTTGGTCTCTGCCATGGCATTTCCCGTGGTCTTCACGGAGCAGCGTCTGGTCCACGGGGGCACCTCCACGAACACTAGGAACCGGAAGGCCCACGGAGGAAGGAAGCAGGGGCACGGGGCGGGGCTCACTCACCTCAGCGCGCTGTACCCCTGGCACACGCTGACACAGCACAGGACCTTCTCCTGGTTCGCCTGAGTCTCCCCCAAGTATTTACACACGATGTTGCCGCCCAGGCTAAAGCCCACGACCACCAGCTGGGTCAGGGGGTATGTCTTCCTGATGTAGTTCACCATGGCTCCGAACTCCCAGGTGCAGCCTGTGGGCAGGAAGGGGAAGCACACGTCAGGTGCGACAAAGATGGAAGAAAATGTGAGCTGGAAGGTCACGACGCAGATGCCAAGATAGTGACAGAAGTGTGTGTGTGTGTCTTTGGCTACCTGGAGAGAAGTTCCCAGGTGGCCCCAGGAGAAGAGGGAATATGGCAGCAGTAGTGCCCCTGACGCAAGGCACCAGGCAGCATGTAAGATGTTCAAAGGGAGTGGTGAGAAAGCTGTCTGGGTGCTCACGGAAATCAAGAGAGGCTCAGCATGTGCACGGGCATGTGTTTGCCCACAGATGCACACAACAGCAGGAGCAAAACCCTTTGGACCTACAGCTTCTTAGGCTATAAAACAGGATGGGTGGCTGTACCCATGTGCATCATGATCCGTGGTGTTAGCAAAGGCACCAGCTGCATGTTATTTGCAGGATCTTCTTGTGGGGGAGGGAAGGGAAGACAAGCTCCGGTCCTGAGGGATGGCCAGGGTGCTCCGAAGGATCGGGAGAGTGTTCTCGGTGACGTAAGGACAGGGTGCCGAGGGAGGCGGACCGGGTCAGAAACACACAGAGGAGACCTATGGACGGAGAGAGCGTGCGGGCCTTGCTTGCCCCAGAGGGATGATCTCAACGGGCGCCCCCTAGGGAAGCTGGCAAAGTGAGGCTGTGTCTCAGCAGCTCTGTTAAGAGAAGCAGGTTGGCGGCCATGCATGGAGAAAGGAATTCATCACGTCCTTCTGAGGCCCAGCCCCAGACTCAACCTAAGAAAAAACCTAACAGGGAAGTGACGGGCAAGAAACACGACAACCACAAAGAGAGTTTGGATTTTGTGTCTGTTTTTAAAAATACAGATCTCTGGTCCACCGAATACACTTTTGGGGACTTCATACTGTAGATGTAGGTAAAGATGTACATGTGTGTGCAAGAATGTCCACTGAAGTCCTGTCTGAAGTAGCAAAGGACTGGCAAGAACCTAAATTTCCACCAGCAGAGGACTAGTTAAACTGCCGTGAAAGAGAACGGCATCGAGTCTGATTGGCTGACGTGGAATGAGGCCGAGCCATCCGCCGAGGGACAAAACCGAGGGGCAGAGAAGGGACTGGTGCCACCTCAGGTGGGTCCTGAGTCTCAAAGGGATTAGATGGGCACACGTATCTAATCGCTAAAAACTGTAGCAGACGCTGATGTTCTGGGGAGGAGACTTGGGGGACTAGGGTGGGACGGGGACACAATTTTACTCATTGTATTTGGAGTTTTGCACTATTTGAATGTTTTCACTGCATATGTACACGACTTTTTCAGTAAAAAATCCAGCCACTTAAAAAATCAGGCGAAAATAAAGAAAAAGATTTTAAAAGATGTGTAAGTTCCCTGGACCAGGCTCACCTGTGCTAAAGGTGCCCCCCCGCCCCATGCGATGGCAGGGGTTTGTCCGGCTCCAGGTGGGCACGCTGTTTGTCTGCCTCAGCAATGGTGTGCTTTAAGCCAAGTAAATTCTTTAACTGCTCACCATTCCCTTGGGGTTCTTCCTAATTTTATTCCTCCTTGGATAGTTCTTTCTTTCCTTCTCTTTTGTTCTAACATTGAACAAGCCTCTACTGCATTTCCAACTCCGTCCGGCGAGGTGGTCTCGGTCCTGGTCACCACTGTGTCCCAGGGGCCTGGCACTCAGTGGGCACCTGGTTGACGGCACCTAAATGTGTGACCGGAGACGCTGCCCAGGCCCCAGGCCCTGGACTGGGGCTGACACACAGAGGAGGAGGCCAATGGAAACATAAATGACTTGCCCAGCCTCACAAAGCGGGCGGGCGGGGGCACCACCGGCCTTTGGACCTGCGTCAAACCCCCACGCCTAAGTCCTTCTCCTTGTTTCCTGAGTGTGTGAGTAAGTATTGTTACCACAGGGGTTTACACTTTAGTGCAAGTCTTATTTTCTCACCATCTGATTTCTGTTGCACACATCTATCGTTCCTCAGGTGTGAGGCTAATTACTTGAGACCTAGGGCAGATGCCAGAGCAGCAGGTACAAGCGGGTCTGCTGAGGGGCAGCTGTGGCTGACTGTGCTGGCACTTCCGGAGCCTCGATGCTTCAGCCCAGATGCGTCTGAGAGGGACGAAAGGCCGGCCCTGCCTGATGGCGGACAAGCTGCTGGGTGTTTGTGGGGAGCGGCCACCTCTCCCCGGGGAGGGGCAGGCAAGGGCACGGTGTCTGCCGGCCCCAGGACCAGCCTCTGGTACAAGCGGGGCCCTCCCAGGGTCTCCACCTGACGTCGATCACCTAACGCCCCCAGTGTCTGGGGGGCCCCTCCCTGGCTGTTTTCCTAGGAGCTACAGCAATCTGTGTTTTAATACTAGGAGGATTTTGATGAGGTTCTCTGTATTTAATCCTTATGGGATTAGCACCAGTAACAAGCTTTACGTTTCTAATCTTGCTGCAACTTTTTACAGCCGAGATGACATATGAGACACTAGCCTGGCCTTGGAGAGGTGACCAGGGGCCGTCCCGGAAAGGCCGCCTGCGGAGCACAGGAGGCCTGCTTCCCTCTGGCTCCCGCCCCTCAGCAAGGGCAAAGCCAAGGCTGCCAGAGGCCACTGTTCCCGATGTCACCACCACGACTAAGTGGGCGCCGATGCGGGACCTGGAGACTGGTGTTCACTGTGGCTGCAGGCTCTGAGTCATGGCTGCGTCCTCCACACCCGCCTGGGCCTGGCACACGGTGGGTGTGTCACCCGTGGTCGCGGGGCAGGAAGGCCATCCGAATCATGTGGAGTGAGAGCACACTCAGACTGTGGCTGCACTGGGAGAAAGGGCCTTCAAAGGGTGACTGAGAGAAAATGGGGTCGTTCGGGAGGGCCCTGGCCTGATATGACCGGTGTCTTTCTCAGAAGAGGCCATTAGGACACAGGCACAGAGGGACCGACAGGACGGCCACTCCGTGACAACATGGAAATGACGGCTGCCTACAAGTCTCAGAGAGAAGCCCCGGAGGAAACCAAACCTGCCGACCCCCCGAACTTGGGCAACTGGGAGACAGTGAGCTTCGGCACTCCTGGCCACCCAGACCACGGTAATCTGCTGGGCCTTCCCAGCCCACAGACAGTTCCCCGAGGGCCCGCGTGTCTGCACGTCCCTCCCTGAAGCAGTCTCGGGTGAAATGACAGGCTGTCTGGGGCTCCTCCAAACCGTCTTTGAAATGGGCACGCGGGAAGGGGGTGGTGGGGAGCTGAAACAAGGCTGGCATCAGCTGAGCAATTGTTGAGGCTGAACAATGGGTACATAGGGGCTTCCCTGGGTTCACTTTCATGTTCTCGCTCTTTCATATATTTCAAAAATTTCTATAATAAAAACTAAAAAAAAAAAAAAAAAGCCCTGGAGAGGAAATAAGGGATGTATAAGAGCTATACACCTCTGTGGCCCTCAACCTGCGGGGTACCCGAGGGCCCAGGGACAATGCTGACCTGCACCAGGAGTTCTTTGTGGCACAAAGGCAGACTTGAAGGAAAACACCACATTACTGCACAGGACAAGTAAATGCTATAAAAACAAACTCTCCCGAGTTAATGTAAACATTACAATTCCTAATAAATGCTGTGGTGTGCCGGGCTCGAGTCCTCTGAAACTGACTCTTCCTCCTCGGGGAGAGTGTCTCTCCCTACCTGTGATGTCAGGCCTGGCTGACGGATGGTGACCAGTGTGGCCCCTGTCACTTCCAGGCAGAAACTTAAAGCTCTGGGAGGTGACCGAGCTCCAACTGGTGGCTGTGCCATTATCCTCGGTCCTTGTGTGAGGACAGCGATGACGGAGACACAGGAGCCCCCAGCCACTGTGGGATGGGTGTGTACTGTGAGGCAGAAATAAATCTTTGTTTCCGAACCACCGAGACTGGGGGTGGGGGGTGTTTACAGCATAATCTAGTCCATCTGACTGATACAGAAATTCAACACAGAATTGGACAAACTCATTCTCAGGTTTGACCGGAAGAAAAAAAGGCAGGAAGCCAAAAGCACATTCTGAAGAAGCAGTGGGTCAGGGTAATGCTACCAGACATTAAGCCGCATGACGGAGCAACAATAACTGAAAGTTAACAATGGCGTTCGGTGTAGAAATGAGGGTCAGCCTTCCCCTGTGAGCTCCAGGCTCTGCCCCAGGACAGGGGCAGTCGCAGGGCCCACCCGTGTGCCCCTCGCAGCTGGGTGTGCAGCCGACACTGAGAAAAGGAAGGCGGAAGTCACAGTGCACTTGTGGTGGGCACAGAAGCAGGGGTCTCCCCCTGGCCACACCCCCTGCTTACCGTAGGTGAACATGCGTGGTGAGGTCAGCTCGATGTTGGGCAGGGCGCCCAGGTGGTTGAGCACGGCGCACCGGTAGCCATTTTTCTGGGCATAGTCGACAAAGGTGCGGATGTACTGCTTCTCGCTGTGATTGGCGATTCCGGGGCAGATGACCATGGTGACATCATCTACAGGATGGAGAAAGAGATCCGGGCTGGGTCCAACAGACAGAGACACAATGAAGGGGCACGTTACACGGCCCTGGCTTAGGAAACAGGAGGAGGGAGTTTAACATACATCTTTCCCCTCAACTCTCTGGGAACGGCATCTTTCCCGGTTTCAACTTTCCACCTCTGTCCTGGCAGGAAGAGCAGTCTGGTTAAACTAAATTTTGTGCTTTCGTGGTAGAAGTATGAGTATTAGAAATGAGGAAAAACATGTAACTGGAAATGGCAGAGGAATAAATATTTGAAAGATCAGCTACAAGACTTGTAAACGCAGTGTGAACTCCTAACCTGTCTTTTATTCATTCCTCCTGTGACTGTGTATTGGGAACCTGCCGTTGCGGCCCCTGGGGAGCCTTACATTCCAGCAGGCAGACAATAAGAAACCACGCAGTAAGTTAAAGTGTGGCAGGCACCCTCAAGCACTGCAGTGGAAGGCCGTGATGGATTTACTGGGAAGGAAACTCACGGCCGGGGAGGCAGAGGCCTGGACTGGAAGCAGGAGGCAGCGCCGGAGTGTGACCTGAATGACAAGGAGGCGGCAGCCCTGTGTAAGTCTGGGACAAGCATTCCCGACAAACTGAACACAGTCAAACCTTCGTCATTAGCTACTCAGCAGCTCTATTACTTTAAGTAACTGCGAGTTTTGTTTACTGGAATCTACCCGTAAATATTGACCGAGGTCCTGTAAAAAAACGCAGGTGCCTTTGCTTGCTCCAAGACTCAGAAGCCTTGTTCTCATGTGGTCAGAACAGCATCTAAAAGGGGCTGCCTTCTGACTCCACTTCCGCCAAGCCCTCACTGTGCAGCGTCCTGCGCTTGTTGTGCAGGCTGATGGAACAATGGACATGAGAGGTACTGAGAAATGGGGGTCCCGGACCCCTGCCTGATAAATACGACCTTACTGGGTCTTCCTGTCCACGGAACCTAATCAGAGGGCACTGAGGGCCTTGGTCACCTGCTGTCATCCAACAAACAGGACCACTCTGCGCTGCTCCTCTAAGCTCCAGTTACGCAGGGATAAGGAGGCACCATCCTGGCGAGGATTAAATGAGATGACAATATATACAAAGCACACAGAACAGTCTGGCTTCTGTCACTGCCATCAAACCAGAGGCCTGGTCCTGAGGCGCCTGGGCTCCAAGTTCTCCTGCATCCCCTTACACCACGATTTCATGAGACAGTTAATGGCATTTGACACTGCTTTTAAGCTGTCCCTGGGGACTGGCAGGCACAGGCAGGAGCTAGTCCTTGCCAGGTGCTCCTGAGTAAGGTGTTCAGCAGACCTCCCACCAGGCCCTGGGTACGCCGGATGGTAGGAGTCAGCAGCATGAGCATGTGCCCGGTGCTCCCTCCCCAACTGCTGCGCCTTCTCTGAGCGCTGACCCAATCACACAACCTGGACCCGCTCACCTCCAACGCAGTGCTCGGCCAAGGGTTCGAAGAGGTCGAAGGTTGAAGTGGCTCCATCAGACATGGTGATGAACTTCCGGTGCCCGTATGGGTGTGGCGACCTCACCCTTCCCATCTTCCCATACAGGGCGGTTTGGATGTGCCCACTCTTCCCCCAGATCAACGGAGGAATGTATCTAAGAAAGAAGGAGACCAGGGGTCAATCTCCTCCACCTTCCTTGAATAATGCTATGAAAAATCCTTTGAGCAAAAGTCTTTACAACTATTTAAGATTTTTTTCTAACCAATTCTGCACTACACATAAATGAGAGTTTTAAACCTTACAAATTCATGTCACGACTTACTCCCTGCCCCCATGCATTAATATATCCTGCAGCAGATCAGCATTAGAAATCAACCAGGACATGCTTACACGGACAGGATTTCAAAATCAGGGTGTTAAATAATTCCTCGTGGGTTACTTCCACAACGCAGAATAAAAAGAAAGTATGTGATATGTTTTAAACAGGTGACAGGGTTAGCCTTGTTATCAAACGAGCTGATGCCTATAAAACAGAAGCAGAGCGGACACACCCTGAAGGCTCACTTCTCTGCCTTCCCCTAACGAGAGAGTCTGTGGCTGTGGGGGTCGCCCCACCCCCAAAGCTGTTCTGTTACAGTGGGAAGGGCTGCAAACTCTCCTAAGAGCCTCTGTGTGCCTTGTACGTACGTGTATATGCACGGTACGTCCCAGGGAATGCTCTGGAAGGACAGAGCAATGTAAATTGGATCACTGAAGGGTAAAGGCTGGTTAGCATGGGTAAGGCACGACGTCACCCTCACAACCGTCCTTTGAGAAAGCAGGAAGTGACTGGCTCTTGATAGAAAACATGAAAACCACAAACTAATTACTGGGAAAACAAGTGCGCCAAGATACAGTTAGGGAATGTTTACGGCTCAGACCACAGTGCAAGAGGATCAATCCCACGTACCGAATTGCTGTTGGTTTCCCTTCTGCAGCTTTGAGCCCAGGCCGGACGGCTGGCCAGGGTTTGCGTCTTACACAAACTAGAGTTGTGCAATATAAAGTGGTGATGACATCGACCCTTCACCTGTGTTACATCACAGTGGCGAGCACTGCATTATTATCAGTAGTTTAGGCTATTTGTCAAGTCATGCCTATCATTTCTGTCAGACCAGATGATCCCAGACATTCTTCTTAACTTAAACCAGGTTTACTTCTTTTTTTTTGGGGGGGGGGGGAGGAGTAATTCATTAAATCCACACAAACTTAAGAGATGTGAAGCTATCACCTTAAGGAAGCCAGTTCCCAGAGGAGCTTCCTCTTTGGGGACAGGGAGGAGGGGGAAGAGCATTTTACGATGTAAGGACAGGAAGCCGCTTGCCAACGTGGCCCAACGGTGCAGACCTCAGAGCGGAAGCCATGGCGTTTGGAAAGCAGGCGAAGGCATTGATAAGGACGGGTGGATTAAAACAACAAAAAGCGAGCTTACGAAAATCCCATCAGTTGGACGATGGCATACTACCCGAGTCTGAGACGCAGGATTTATGGAAGGTTTCGGACCACCGACCTGGGTGACACACGGTGCCCCGGTGAATGTAAAGACTCTTTTCAAGCCCATCCTCTTGCCGCCCATGGGAGCCAGGCCCGTTCAGCCGATACAGTGAGCAAGCGCGTGGGGAGGATGTGCTGCGCGAACACAGTCCCGACCCACACGGCAAATCCGAAAACACAAAGGTACACCGAGGTCTGTCCAGAAAATGCCCAGCCATTGTAAACACAACAAGACCGGAGCACGTGACATGGATATGACCTGGCAGCCTAGGAAAGTCAACTGGAACACGCATGTGTGAACAACGAGGACTTCACTGTACTAGTCAGTGGGGGCGGTAGCTGCCATCAAGTGAGCATGTGCACTGTGTGGCTATTGCATTAAAAATGACTGAGCCAGTAGAGCTGCAAATCTGCATCAAATTTTGTGTTAAGCTTGAACACTCCTCTGCAGAAACTATTTGGATGATTCAGAGGCCACAGCTGTGGGCACCTGGTGATTGGCAGCTTCATCACCACAACGCCCGCCAGCTCTTGCATCACGTCTCGTGCAGAGTTTTTGGTGAAACTTCAAATCACCCAGGTGACTCAGCCCCCTCATGGCCCAGATTTGGCACCCTGCAACTTCTGCCTTTTCCCAAAACTAATATCACCTTTGAGAAGGATGAGATTTCACACAGACGATGAGATTCAGGAAAATATGATGGAGCAGCTGATGGTGATTGGGAGAACTGTGTGAGGTCCCAAGGTGCCTACTTTGAAGGGGACTGAGGTGTCACTGTCCCCTGTACAGTGTTTCTTGTGTCTTCTTCAATAAATATTTCTTTCACAGCACACAGCCGGATACTTTCTGGGCAGACCTTGCACTTACAAAACGATAATCGCCATAACAACAGGAATTTGCCTGCGGCATGACTGGTGTCCAGGTACTGTGTTCTTCACAGGGCATCCGGCGCCATTCTGAGCCGGAGCCGCAATAAACTTCTCCAGGTGTGTATGTGTGTGTGTGTGGCTAAGAGGCTGCCTCCAGACCACCTGAGGCCATCTCAGTTCACGTAAGGTCAGTGGTGCACAGGGGAAGTCCCACAATCTTTAATTTTACGGCAGTGCCACCTACTGATCAAGCATTGTTTTTAATTGACTTCACATTAACACAACCCCAGGGTTTACAAAACTGAAACTGTGGGCAGAATTTTCTGCGGTCGGGTTTTTCCATGTGTTGTTTATGTGACTTATCCACAGATCCCACACACAAACACACACACTGAAAACAAAAAACCCCAGAATACGTGCCTAGTCACTTGGTTTAGGTCAGAAAGGAAATATGGACCAAAACAATGGAAAATTTTGGAATTCATATAAACACTTAAGAGAGGGGATGAGAAAAGTACATGAAGGAACATGCTTTACTCTTACTACCTGCGTGGTAGCGTGTCTGAAAATGCAGCTGCCAGGTCCCGCCTCTTCCTGTCTCCACAGTCCATCTGCCCTAGCAGGAGGCAGACACCTCCCCGCCCTGCCTGAGTGCAGACTGGCCTGTGACGTGTTTGGGCTGGCAGACTGCGGTGGAAGGGATGCTGTCGGATCTGGGCCTGGCCCCTCACAGGCCCGGAGGGCTGGTGGTTTCTGCTCCTACCTCCTGGACCTGGCGCCGTGTGCTAAAGAGCCTGGGACTCCATTACCCTGAGAGGAGAGGTCACGGGGAGTGGGCCTAGAGGCTGCGAATGGAATCCAGAGCTATGCACGTTTGGAAGTTTAGAGAGAGGATCATGAATTGCCTCCCTCAACAGATGGACCAACTGGCACTCCTACCAGTTATGCATTAAAATGACTTACTGTCTTCCTCACCTTCAACAATCATTGGTGTTACCAGCATTTTACATTTGGGCCACTTTGACAGGCAAAAAAAAAATGGTATTTCATTTCAATGTGTTATTTCTTAAGTTTGATCCAATCTATGGTAAAAAAAAAGTTTCTTATTTGCATTTCCCCAATTCATATATTTATTAATCACTGTATTTCTCTTGTGAATGGTCTGTCCGTGTCCTTGGTCCATTCCTCTATTACTTTTCCTTTTACTTTGTTAAGTATCATTTTATCACCTCTATATTAAGTCTTTATATATTATGTTGAAAAGGTTTTTGCTCAGTCTCTTGTATATCTTATCTTTTGTCTTACATAACGTATATATTGTGTTTAAATCTGTTTTGTTTTCTATTAAAACCTTTGTGCTTTGCATTTAGTTTTAAAAAGACCAAGTCTAACCCCCAATTATATATTCCCCAATATTACCTTCTACTACTCTTGAACTGCCCTTGAATCCACTTATTTTTGTAAGCGATGAGGTAAAGATCTACCGCATTTTTTCCTAACAGCTAATTGCCCTTCCACCACAATGGCCCATTGTTTCCCTACTTACTTAAACCATCACTTTAAATACACACCAAGTTTCCAACGACACAGACCTGTTCTACGTGCCTGTCCTGGTGCATCATCGGTCCACTCAGTCACTCTCGTGCCAACGTGACACTGCTTCTATCAGGGCCGCTCTACGGAGCAATTTGAGAGTGGAGAGGACAGGCCTCCTCCACTCCTTTTTCAGCGTTTCTAGGTGGGTTTTTGCTATTTTATTTTCCAGATGAACTACAGCAGCGGCCCGATCTCTAAAAATCGTGGGATTTCTAACTGGAAACATACAGGACATAATTATTTTACCCTGGGGAAAACCAACATCTGCACCACGTCGACGTGTCCCACTGAGGAGCGTGGAGCGTCCCTCCGTCACCGGGGTGTTTATGTCCCACAGTAAAACTTTACAGCTCACTACATGTTTCAATGCTCGGTTTTAACTGCACTGATTTGCATGCACTTCTACATGTATTTTTTTTTTAAGCTGTTCTTAGAATCAACATCTGGGCACGTTTAGTCCTAATCCCCTGGAGGCAGAGGTGATGGCGTCCAGTTTGCTCACCGTAAAGGGGTTTGTCCAGTGCTGTGCTGTGGCCAGTGGCTAGTAAGTGCTCGTCACCGAGAAAGCGGTGAGACCACAACACAACACAGGGGCCAGCCTGTCCTCATCCTCTGGGCCTAATTATAGCTGACATCTGGCTACACTAACAGAACTGCCCGTGGAAAGACCGCCAGGGAACTCTGGGCCCCCTCCCGCCCCACCGCTCCACGCACACACGAGCAAGGACAGACGGTTGCTGCGTCTTATGCTCATCTCTGTCCCAAATCTCTGGGCAACCACTTTTTCCTACGGGACCCAGGTCCCTTGGTTGTGGATCACACCACATTAAAGCTGTTGAAGCCGGAGTTTGCTGTTATTCCCTGGTTCTCTCAAGTACCCCTCTACCAAGTCGGCACTGACTGGCGCACAGTAGGACGTGTATAGAGGCTCAGCCTGAGACGGAGCGCCCCCACTCCTGGCAAGCCCTTTTCTGCGAACCACATGCCTGTCAGCAGGGCCTCCTTGGCATTTCCAGTTTGTTTTGGATGGGATGCTCTGGTTAAAACAACAAAGCCCGACTACGACTAACTTAAGAAGGGGCTGCACTAGCAGGACACAGAGGCGGGTTTTGATTTTCATTGTCTAAGTGATCAGCGATACGGAACACCTTACTG